TGCTCACTGGAGGAGGATAGCTTTGTCGTTTGCAGTGTCATGGGGAAAATGGTGAAACTTTTTTTCATGCTACTGAGTAAACTTTCCATGCTCGAGTTACTATCTCCAATGTTAACGCAGTTTGGACACTGCATTGGTTTGTAATCTGGTTTCTTGTTAACACAATCTTTAATCTCTAACATGATTTGGGCTGTGCGGTAGGAGGTCAGCAGTTGAACATGTCTTTTAACAGTGTTGGCGTAATGTAAAAAGGACTTCATAATAAGAGAGTGCTGTGAAGAAATGCTGCTCAAGAAAAACTAAGAGGCACTACAAAGTGATACAATGACATTAGGAAATGGTACCGGGTGCAGTAATTATTTGTCATGTGAAGAAACGAGTCCCGCAGCACTCACTGGGGTTTACCTGTTGGAGGATCTTCAGTGATTGGAGAGACTTGTGCTTCACTCCGCCCCTCAGCGCGCTGTCCGCCTCTCCAAATTCAGAGCGCACACAGATCCTCAATATCTTCATCTACCCCGCCGCCTAGTATGAGCTCCCTTCTCTTAAAGCGGAGGCGTGACGAAACAAATGGTTTCTTTACGGTATCCCGCTTTATGCTGACTGAAGTTGCTGTCGTTTAGGACAAATCTCTCCCCCCCCCCAACCCCCTGTTACCGGTTGTGTTTTCTGGACGCGCCATGCAATCTCGCTGGTGGAGTTTGGGATTCGTCTGGTGCGTGGACGTGGATTTGGAGTCTGGCATTGCCTGGAGCGTGGTGCATTCCCGCAAATGAAGGTAAAACACGCCTAGACAAGCCTGTGGGTCAATGACAGCGTTGCTTGGTTCACGATTATGGTTTTTTTTTTTTTTTGGGCACTGACAAGTCTGACCGGTTAAAGGTCTGTCTTTTGCCTCTGGTGCCCCCAGACCGTGCTCTCCTTTAGACATGCCACACGGCTCCGACAACCTTTGACTGAAAAAAATAGGTCGCCTGTAAAATAGATTTGAGGATAATATACACATGATAGCTGTCTTCACCGACGCTTTATTAGTGTGAGTTCTGAAAGCTGAACTAAAAAAAAAAAGGACCTTTGGACGGAACGCGAGTGTCTCCAGATATGTGGTCCTTTGAGGACTTAACAGCGCAGACAGACGCACAGCTCGCTGCTAAAAACACTGTAGGTTAGTCTGAAACGTTTTCTGTGCAGCGTGGGGGGGCTCAAGTATTGAGTTGACATTCACCTCAAAGCATTTAATGGAATTTTAAAAATATGGGGATAAAAGTGAGCCATTGAGATGTTTTCTTCCCATGGATGGTTCCATACATTCACATATAGACAATAGAAACGTTGCTGTGATATTTCTATTCATCCCTCTTTAGTATGATTACAGATGTAGTCTGACATTCTGTCTCTAAATGATCATTTTAACATTAACCGGTGAAGCCAGTTAAAGTGCCTGTTAACAATGCGTTAGGCTATATGGTAGAGTGATGTAACTTGGATCGATAAGAGTTTTATTTGGCAAACCTTTTGGGGTTGCACATTGTTAACTAGCCTCATCATTGTTAGTCTCAACTGAACTGGTGCAATTATTGTTCCCACGGTATTGTCCGCAGACGGCGCAACATTTTAATAGCATGGATGAATGCCATTGTTTGAGGCTATTAGAAAGCATTATCCGAGGAGGCAGCGCATTCATCACCTGCTTAGTCTTCACATGACAGATTTATTCGTACAACGTCAAGAGTCACAACAGTGGCTCTGAAAGTGTGACCACGGGACATTGAGGGGTCCTGAGTGGTTTGCATTGTTTTGCATTGTGTTTTTTTTAAGCCAAGTTACCTTTTATATTTGGTCCCCCCCCCCCCCCCCAATGAATTTAACGATCTAAGAGTTTGTGTAAGATGGAATAAAATAAAACTTACTCTGCAGCAAACATGGTTCGCAGAAGAGTGAAACATTTTCACAAAGCAGCTTGAAATGATATTTAACAGTCCGATTCAATTGAAACAAGTTAATATATGTATACATTTACATTTTGTTTCTCACAGTCTTGTTAAAAGCAAAATGAAGGCTTAAAGAATTATACCTCAATGGCAGTCTGCATCATGAGTTTGTGCGCTGGATTGTACAGTGAATGACAAGAGGCTTTATAGAAAGAAAAAGAAAACACAAGGTAAATGTATTGCTCACATCAGGTTCATATTTGTAAGAGAGTTGGTTTTTTTTTGCTGTCCTGAAAAAACACAATCTTTTGTTTTGCATTGGCACAGCACATGCAAATCTGTTTGTTCTTTCAAAAGTGTCAATGTGATGGGAAATCCAAAAACTTTATTCAACAGCACATTATATCTGTTAAACAACTTGAGAAGCTTTGCCAGGGACTGCCACTCAACATATTTTTGATTATTTGGCACATTTGCGTTGCAGGGATAATCATGCATTGCATGCTTAATTTGAAAGGATGGTGAACCAGTTAAAATAACAATTCTCTCATTCACAGTAATTTAAAAAAGTCATATTAGACAAAATGTCAACTTCTTCCGATGTCTTGGAGTTATTTGGGACTTTCGGCTCTTTCAGATTTGTGTCTCAATTTAAGAGTAACAATATGCTGATATCCTGCAGTGGATTTACCTCATACTCATTCTTTCAAGTTAAAGTTTGCCTTGCATTCATCTTTTGCAAGTTTGTGAGCTGAACTGAGAAAAGTTCTGATGCACCCTTGTTACATCTCTCTGATAGAGAGGAAATGAATCCTGAAGTGGAACTAATGAATGATAACAAAGAAAACTGTATCATTTTGCTACCTTGATCATTATCCTTTCTTGAAGCTAACACATTTTTATTTAGATCTAATCCTGAGAGCATCTTGATCAAGGCCAGACACAGACTCATCCGTTTAAGACGTTGTTATCGTGTTCGATTGAAAATGTCCGACTAAATAAGAGTATCTAGATCGTGGGAGCCTACATTTTAGACTTTGCTTTTATGTTTGTAATTTGTTGATCTAACAAATGAGTAAATTATAGCAAATGGCTCAGACGTGCATGGTTACTGGCCTTCCTGTGTCTTGCAGGCCACTCAGCCTTGAGCTACCCAAACTAACATGTAAATGCAACAATAAATCACATGGCAGGGACACGTTAAAGTAGAGTTAGAGGCAAATGTGTTTGTGTGTAAATTACAAGTTTTCAGAATTAGGATGAAAGACATGGTTTCAAAAAGGGATCAGGGCTCATCACAGGGTGATATTGGCACCCATAACCTGCTAGGGTGCTATAATGTGCAGTGAAAAAACAAATACTCAGTTAGCCTTGTGGCTGCCAGATCTAACATTCAGTCATCAATTAAATTATTTTTTCACATTTACCATCCTGAAAATACACCTACTCTTTAACTTGTTTTACAAAACTTACAAACAAAATCACCTCTTTCATGCTCTGGGGATTACTTAAAGAAAACTTTCTGATCATAGGGACTGCTGAGTGCGTTCCTGTTCGGAGGTTTCATCCTTAGAGAGAGCGGGTGAGAGAGAGAGAAAGTGGTAACATACCCCTTATGATCTAGTTCAGCATCACTTATCTCTTCTTTATGGCCTAATTAGTTGTCTTATCGCCTCCTAAGGACATCTTTTATTATTCTCAGCAGAGCAGTGGAGAGGTTAAGACTAGTTTTGTGTGTGTGTGTATGTATGGTGTGTGTGTATGGTGTGTGTGTATGGTGTGTGCATAGTGAGGAAAATTGCAGAGCAAGTGTGTCTCTGTGACTGAACTCACCTCTCTTGTTCTGCTTTTCTGAGGATGTCAGTTCTTTTGTTGACATTTGGGAAGGCTTGATAAGAGGAACGGCTGTTTTATAACATACAGAACTGGACGTGTGTTTGGATATATTGAAGTGAACAGCTGGCTAAGGACAGGGAGAGGACATAAAACTTGTCAATGACTGATTGAATCTTGGAGTATTCGAGTTTGAACTTCATTGTGTTGAGAGTTAAGAAAATGTTTTTGAGGAAACATCTTTTGCTGCTTCTGCATAAAACAGAGGCAAAAAGGTTTTGTCATTTTTATAGTGTCAGTGCCCAGATACCTCACTGAAAAGGGGTTAGGCAAAATACAGAGCAGATGCTTTATGTGCGATGCTTGACTAGCGATAAGGAGAAAAGTGCAAAACATTTTAAAGTCCAGTTTTTACTCCTCCGCATGAATGTCTCACATCCCCAGTCCCTGTAGCAAGAACAAACATGCTAAATCCCCAACGTTATATCCAGTAAATAGGTTCAAATCAAGACCAGTAGGCTCAGACCAGACAAAGACAAAACTAGTAATTGGCATGTATTTGAATAACGATTTTATGAGAAAATAACTATCACACATAGGAAAAACTTTCCTTGTTTTGTTTTTTTGTGAGTCTGTTTACAGTTTCATCCAAGTATTTGTCGGTTTAGTGCAACAACTTTGAAAGATGTTAATATAATCACCAACCAACATATATATATATATATTCGTGATTATATTAGTGAAAAGAATAGATGAACACAGCCTATCAATCTTATTTTTAGAATGTAGCGTAAAAAAGTGAATTTACAAGTGAACACCTCATGAGGCTGAGTGATGAAACACACAGGAGAGAGTTGTATAAAGAGATTTTAAAACATGTACTGATACAATTTAACTTTAATATGTGGCTTTTACTAATTTCTCAAACTTAATCTGCTCCCATTTACTTTAAGTCCTAAACCTTGAAAGTGTCATAAATTATTCTTTCTACTTCATTTCTCGAGTATACACTTTGTAGGACACAAAACAAGCCACATGTTATGAATGATAAGACAAAGAACTATTGGAACTATGGCTTGACAAAAATTGAATTGTATTCATGGAGTGCATGTTATGCCAGGCCAAACTCAGAAGAGTTTTGAAGCTTTTGGAAGACGGCATGTAATAACAAAAAACGTATTCTCATTGTGATGTACTGTAGACTGTAGAAATGCTGTTGAGGATTCTTCACAAAATGTTTGTGTTGAAGAAAACTGAAATGAATTTACAACTACAAGTTTAGATTATAAACAAACCTCAAGCTGAATTGGGTTCAGCAGAGCTCTATGTTGATAACCCATTTGTGACTAAGCATCATGTGTGCTGCTTTAATTTTCCTTCCAAATAAATCAAAAAGCTTCACCCTTGGATGCACTTTTGACAAGAATCTGTTCAAGTATTTGGGAATCAAGAGACTGTCTCTAGTGTTGTACATGAAAAGGTGAAAACATGCTTTGAGGAGTGCGATGGTCAGGTAATTGCTCTCGACAGCTTTCATCTGAGAGTCTGAGAAAGGAGAATTTTAATAGCTCATATTGTGCTATTAAAATTCTCCTGAGAGGAGTGTTGGAGAGTTAAAACAAGCTACAGTTTTTGGTCAACAAGATGCACAAATGTGCTGTTCTACAAAAGTATTAGAAGAAGGGTAACAGAATGAGAAATAATCAGTTATGTCCTGTTTTGTTTCAATGTCTTGATTGGTTGTTTGTCTATGCTAAGGACTGCCCCTTGTTTTCATCCTTTAACAGTGAACCTGCTGGATTCTCGCTCTGTGATGGGAGACCTTGGATGGGTGGCCTATCCTAAGAATGGGGTGAGTTACGATCAATCCTTAAATGTTGAATTGGAAGATAACTTAATCTTTAGATTGTCAGTGATGACAGTGACATTGTTTCTTGATTGGTTGTCTTTTTGGAGACATATGGTTGAGGAAGGTTATTTAAATATGTAGATTTAGTTTTTTGAATGCACTTGATAAGAAAAGATGAGGAATAATTCATTCTTGTGTTAACCTAAGTGTATTAAAACAAATGATGAACTACATCTAAAAGAAACTTGTGTCCATCTAAAAGTGACCCTGATAGCACAGTGAAGAAGTCGGGGTGGTGACTTCTGTGTATGACAAAGAACACCAATAACTTTATGAATTTTGCGCTTAAGACTCATCATTTTTTAACCCAGGATAAAGGTCATTTTATTTCCAGGAATTCTCAGTTCATTATCAGAATAAATTAAATTCATGAATAAGATACTGAAAGTCACCATGGAATACATTATCCTCAAGCCAGCAATCCAGTTTCCTCTTCCAAGCATTCCCAAGGGGAGGACCGATTAGAAGAGGATTTCCTGGAATTGAAAAGTAGTTTTCAGTAGTGTTGAACAGTATATTGTAATTGATTATTAAAAAAAAAAAGAAGTTGTGTATTCTGAAGTTTTAGCATTACATTAACTCATAGCTGAATCTTTCCTAGGGAATACAAATAAATCCCATCCTCCAGGGGATTGATGGTGCTGTAGTTTGATTAAAAAGGAATTCATTTGTGTGTCTATTTGATCCACATGTAAAATCTCTACTATCATCATCACTCCTGTTGGCAAATATGCTGCTATACACGACGGACCAAATAGTGCTGACCGTAAAGTATTTCTCTGCGCTGGGTATTCAAATCACGACACATTCTGTGGCGGTATGTAGATGGGAGAGATAGTGCTGACAAAAGCAGCCGTATGCACAATCATATTAATGAAGATGTGATTATGGTGTGTGGTTTCTACAATGCAACTGCATAAATAACTGAATTTGTGGTAGAGGGTGGGAGAAAAAAACTAAAGATTTGATAGGCATAGGATTAATGTGACTAGATTGTCCTTTTTTCCCCCTAATGAACGAATTGTCTGGTGAAATGACGAACATGTTTCACTAAACAATGTTCTCCATGTTTGGCATTTTAACTGACAGGCGTTTTTGTTGTTGCCTATTCTAATTATTCTCCAATTCAATATTTATATGACAGAGCTCTATCTGAAGGGGTACTCTTGCATATTTTCCACACAAACAATCACACACACATAGTAACAGCAGTATTTGTTGGCTAAATAAGATGTTTAGGCAACAGTAGAATTTCCTTTTTTTTATGTTCCAGATGGTTCGTTACATCCCTCGTATCCCTCCTCCACCCACCTTCACCCCCTTCATTACTTCCCCTCTCATTCTTCTTTTTTTCTGGCTTAGTTCTAATCAGTTAAACAGTGCCCCCCCCCCCCATCCTTTCTTTACCCAGCATTTACTTATCTCCCCCTCTCCTTGTCCTCTTATTCTCTGTCATCTTTTTGTCTCACCTCACCATCTTCTGTGCACTGCTTTCCTCTCCCAATGTGTGCTTTGAATGTTCTTCATACATACATTCAAGCAACACAGGAAATTGATTTAAATAAAGAATTTGAGAATGATTAAGAATTGTATAGATGACCTTGAAATGATGTCCTGGAAACTACAGTACACATATCAATGAACAGTATGACACTGATGTATTGGCTTGAAATAAGGACAAGGAAAGGGAAATGCTTTTAAACAGCTTGACTAGTATTTGCTTAGTGTCACAGGTTGGAGATTAAACAAAAAGGTAGAGGCCCCAATTGCAGACTAATAGGAATTTCACACTCGCAGAAAACTCCTGAAAATGAAAAAAGTGAGAACGCAGCAGGATATTCTCCGGAGAATTCACCTCGAGTCAATGGGAGGGGGCGTGACGTTTATATACCGTGACTGCTGCACAGTGTAAGGAGTGTATGCGTGCGACCGCTACGATCTCCGTGCATAATTAAACGGCTGCATTATGTTTTCTGTTAACCAGTATGTTGTTCTCCGCTCTTTTGTTGACATTCTGAGGAAAATACACAAGAACACATGAACACATACACATGAACACAGGAAGGATTGATGACAAACTGACACAAGATAGAAGGTACAAGGACACAAGTAAACAATGGGAAATCGAAGTGGAGGGATACTATAGGCAGAAATGTGTGTATTGTTAATTGAATTGCTCAACTTGAATTATTTTATAAAATGTCAGAATTAAAATCACATAGTTTGACTTAGTGTAAAAACTGATTCTAAAATAGCAGAATTTGAAATGGAATTATTTTGTTTGAAACTGAATTAAAATATACTTGAAACTATACATTACATTGAAGAGGAAAAAATACGAAACACTCAAGAGCAGGAAGTAAAACTAAACCAGAAACACAAGAGGAAGAAACTACAAAATGAAACAGGAAACACTCAAGACTAGTCTTTGGAATATAAAATCCATATAGGGAATTATATATGAAACATGAGGGAAGGAAAAGACGAAGTAAAAAGGAAAATATATCTGAATAATTCAATTAACAAAGAACAACTCATACTTAGATGTTTGTGGTGCTGCATCTCATGCTATTCAGCAGATACATTTTTCTCCCGATACAACAGAACTGTACAATGTAGGTGATTAAATTGACAGAAAGAAGAGATTATGGTGAGAATAAGAAAGGTGCAACAGTAGAGAAAATAGGGTAGGGAAGCAAGATATTGGGGACAAGAAGATGACAGTAAGTCAAGCGTTGAGTGAAGACAGATATAGGGGGGATGTGGTTGAACGGTGTTTCTGGGTTAGACATAAAATTGGATAACTAAAGAAAGAATAGAGGACATACATGATCGGAAATGTATTATAGACATGGCAGTAAAATTAGGCACAAGAAGGGGGATGTTAGAGATTGAGATGGGTGAAGAAAAGATGGGAAAATGACTTAGAAGGAAACCTTATTAAGTGACAGTAAAGTGTTAAAGGGCAGGAAGTGAAGAACATGCGGATATTAAAGAGGTGCTAGGGCTTTACAGTATGAGAAGATCTGGAAGGATTGACAGTAAAAATATATTATTATTGGAACTTTGTACCATCTGTAATCCAGAATTAAACTAGATTCTTAACCATGAGTTTTGCATTTTATAACATTCTTGCAAGTGAGCAAAGCAAAACTAGCCATTCCAACCATGTAATTCAAAATGACATATTTACGATAGGCTGTGTGTACAGTCTACAGCTATCCAGCTTCAGCTTCTTCAGTGATTCAATGTTTTGGAAACAGAGGTTCATAAATGTCTTAATTATGTTTAAAGGTGTCAACATCATTTCACATTTCCTTTCCCTCACGTTGAGGCTTCATTTATTTGAAAGAGAAAAAGTGTCAGGAGGAGGGAGAGGGGGGGGGGGGTTCTGCTTTTTCTCTGATGCAAATCACATCCCTGTTTCTTGGTATTTGAGAGAAGAATAGGTTGTGTGAACTGCATTAAAGAAGGTAAATGAAGTCAAGATATTACTGTTCAATTTTTTTTTTAATTAAAAAGATGGTGACTAACTTTACAGAGTCACTGAGAGATGAAAAGGCAAAGAAGAAATAAATGGTAGTGTTAAATAAAAAAGGTAACAAAGCGTTGTTTCTGTTAAAGTTACCATTTTGCCAATTCACTCTAACATGGGTGGTCTTGACCCTGTAGCGTTAGTATGTAGCTTAAAGCTTAACATTTAACCTTAGGGGGCCCTAATGCCTAACACCATGTACAGTATCCTTTAAGAACTCTTTCAGACAGGCACTTGAACTCCTTTAAGAGCAGCTCCTTCTAAGAAAACTATTCCTTTCTCCAGAATCAGCCTTCTTAAATAAGAGTCCTTCACTTAAGAATTCAGAATTCTTGCTCCAGAATCGTATTTTAATCTATAATTAATTTACTGGAACATGCAAAGCAAAGACTAGCATTGCATTATTTGAAGTGTTCCTTTTACTGCTCATATCATGCGGGTATTTACATTTCATATCAAACCCTGTTAGAGCTGCAGAGTTGTAAACCACATTTTAAAACAAATGAACCCACTTTGTTCCAGGGAATACTAGAGAGGACCGTCTATTGAACTCCTTGCTGTGCTACCAATAATGGTTTGGGTGTGTATGTGTCTTTTTGTGCGTGTGTATATGCATATATGTGTGATTGATTGTGTTTGTGTTAAGCTGTGTAAAGCTCAGAACAGGCTGGTGGATCTGTGTGATCTAACCAGTAAGAGGCTTAATGTCTGTACTGGGACTGACTGAAGTCTGGGAAGACAGAGACTCGGCTAAAACAGGCACACAAAGATCAGATATGAAGAACTTTTATTACCGGTTACCTTTGTTCTTAAACTGTCAGCTCTAAAACAGCCACTTTTGTTTTCAAACTTCAGTCTGTCTTGTAAAAGACACAAATAAACACACTTAAAGAAGCGAAGGAACACTGAACAATGTGCATTTATAATACAACACACAATGTCTAATGAACCTTTTAAAATGTCTTCATTCATTTACAATTCTGAGCTGGATAATGATAAAAAATGAAAAGGCAGAGGAAAAAACACAGTTTGAGAACAAGACAGGGAGAAGAAAGGAAAAAAGACAGAGGGTTGTTCACAACTGCTACAGAAAGCATTGACTAATACGGGCTATTAAGCTATAACACCAGATCATAGTCTGGTCCCTCTGGCCATATTATGGTGACATGATGAAGCGCCTGTATTAGCCACGGGAGAGTGCTAGTGATGCAGATAATAGCCACGTCCCTGGAGACCTGCAGAGGGAATTAATGCAGCTGTCTGACACTCGCATAGGCATGGATGCACACACACACACACACACACACACACACACACACACACACACACACACACACACACTAGGCCTACGTACAAGAACCCACCTTAATGTGTATGTTAATTCTTTTTTCTGCTGACAAGAACTCCTGCCCATTTTCAGGAAGGCATATATATGTACCCCCTAACACTATCTAGTCTTTCTGTCTGTTGCTAAAGGAGACAATGAGGTGGAAGGGATGGGGATTATACACACAGACACACAGACACACACACACACACACACACACACACACACACACACACACACACAGACACACACAATTTGACACCATACTCATCCAGAAAGCTCGGGGTGTCAAACTTACAACCCGCCCTCCAAAACCAGCCCAACAGCAGGTTTCATCCGGCTCGTTTGAAGTTTTGGGAAGAAAGAGGACATTTTAGAAACCATTTTTGAGATTTTCACTAGTTAGTTATTTTCAATACATATTTTCACTCGATTGTTTCATAAGCAATGTAAAAAAAAAAAAGAAACACTGAATGCAGGGTTGACAAGAGAGATAGAAGGAGCAGTATTTCTTTGCTCACAGCTCCACTGTGCACTCATCCTGACAGTCTTCACTTCTCCTTACCAGTTTGTTACTGTCTTGACTGATGTGAAACAATGCAATGCTTTCACTTCTTATTGTACTAATATCTGTCTCGCTTCTTTTTTTTTTTTACATTATGATTTAACATGAATGTTACATAATCACATTAAATGATGCTAGCAGTTCTATCTTTTGTTGTATCTCAACTTTGCCTCATTAATCATTTTTTGATCGCTCTTATTACCTCTAGGTTGGGAACCACCTTCCTAATAGCTTCTGTTTAACAGTGAAAAGATGCTACCACATTGGTATATCAGTGCTTTTAATCCAGTGTCACACATAATCAGGCCAACTACTACTATTTTTTTCAAAAGCCTTTATGAAAAAATGCTTTTTGATTTGAATGCTTACTGTAATAAAAGCTGAGAACTTTGACATGAGTAATGGAAGTGCATCATATTTAATCCACCACTGTCCAATCCAGCTCTTCTTACCTGTTATCAAAGGTCAGCAATTGTTTCTGTTGTTTTTTCCGTTTTTTATTCATCTTCCTTTTTTCCTGTCTCAGTGGGAGGAGATCGGGGAGGTAGACGAGGACTATGCCCCCATCCACACCTACCAAGTGTGCCGGGTCATGGAGCAGAACCAGAACAACTGGCTCCACACCAACTGGATCCTGACTGAGGGAGCTCAGAGGGTCTTCATCGAGCTTAAGTTCACTCTAAGAGACTGCAACAGCCTCCCTGGCGGCGTGGGGACCTGCAAAGAGACGTTCAATATGTACTACTACGAAACAGACGGCGATGAGGATGAAATGGAGTATGGAGAAATGAGAGATGGAACAGGGATGACCGAAGAGGAGGACCGGGCAATGAAGGAGAGTAGATATATTAAAGTGGACACAATAGCAGCTGACGAGAGCTTTACTGAGCTGGACCTGGGGGATCGTGTGATGAAGCTCAACACTGAAGTCCGGGATTTAGGTCCCTTGATCCGGAAAGGTTTCTACCTGGCGTTTCAGGATCTTGGGGCCTGCATCGCTTTAGTCTCAGTACGTGTTTTCTACAAACGCTGCCCCTTTCTGGTGAAGAGTTTGGCCGAGTTTCCAGACACCATCCCAGGTTCAGAGGCCTCGCAGCTGGTGGAAGTGGTGGGACACTGTGTCAATAACTCCCTGCCTTTATATGAGCCTCCAAGGATGCATTGCAGCACTGAGGGAGAATGGCTGGTGCCTATTGGGAAGTGCGTGTGCCAGCCCGGATTTGAGGAAATTAACGGATCATGTCAAGGTAAGAGGAGAAAGTAGATGATTGGAATAACGCTTAATCAATATCTTTTGATGAATGCGTGCATATTAGAAAGCTACATTCATTAAGCAAGAAAACCAAATGTATTCTTTATTGTGAGAATTTGCGCATCCTAAATCTAGCGTTCACATTTCGGGGTTTGTGCTTGTGTTTCCCGTCGGTTGCTATCTTCACCCTGTTTGTTTATTTTTATATCCATGCCTGTGTTTGTTTTTAGTATTGTGTGTGTGTGTGCTTGGGTCTGTTTAGTCTTTGAGTGTTTCTGACTGTGTGTGTGTGTGTGTGTGTGTGTTTCTCCCTTCCTTTAGTGGAGGGTATTCCCCCGAGCCCTGCAGCACTTTGCTGCTCTACAGACTCTGCTCTTCTCTGACTCAAGCCCAAACATTCCCCACCAACATTTGCCGACCTTAACTGCCTTTTCTACAGGCACACAGTCCTCCCCTGTTTTTTTTCGCTCCTTCAATCTTCTCCAATCTTCCCCTGTGCTGTCCTTACATTTCTCAATTTTAAGATTGCACTGTGGAGTCTATCAAAGGGGAAATATGTAACTCTGACACATAGCATTGGAGAGCTGATCCCACTCAGCGTCTACAGCCTGGGCTGTGGGTAAATGGCTATATTGTATAAGTTGAATTATTATGCTAGTTGAGTTTGATTAGTGAAAAGGTTTTTAAGGTTCCAAGTATCAGTCTAACTTGAAGATCAACAAGGAAAGAGACATCTTTTTGATACATTCCTTTTGCAAACTTGAGACGTAACTTGGGCTAGATGACTTTTCTGGACATCAGTAAAGCTGCTTAACATGAGAACTATGGCAACGATAACGATTCTTGCCCGGTCACTCTCTCTTTGTCTCTTCTTCGCTTCCTCTGTCACCATCCTCTTCTGCAGCAGTTACATCAAACAATTTGAGAGACAGCCTCTAAATGACCTATTTTCATAACTGAGGGTAGCTGTGTGTCAGCTAGTGCCGTAAAGTCGACAGCACATGCAAGATGACCTGGGCCCGCTGCCAAAGTTACATATACTGCAGTAAACATCGTTCAGGCTGTGCTGTGCAGACGGGAGAGAAACCATTCTCCCTGTTGACAGTTATTGTGCTATTAAACCGACCTTTGAAACTACTGTTTTAAATTGGAAAAGTTACTTCTTGTTGCTTTAAATGGTACATGCAGTGATATCTTTTTTTCTAATTTACTCATGTTTATGAGTGACTGTGAAATTGCGGTAATAACCTGGATTTATGTTAACCCTATGAATAGCATGAAATATTCCTCCCCTCTGCAGCTTCAGCTTTCCCAAAAACAATTACCGTAGTTTAGTTCTTTTAAATCTCGGATACAAACACAACAACATTTTGAGATCTTTAGTGCATACATTGGACTATGTTTGAGTGTAAGAGGAGGAGAAAAAAGGTTTTGGTTTCTTTCTTACATTATTTTCAATTAGTATACCTTGGAGAGATGAATCATTAAATCCTGGCCTTTAAGAAACAAGATGTCATTGTTTCTTTATAATGAAATTGTTAAACGTATAATCTTTGTAACAAACTGTGCATTAACTCAAGGTTAACCTTGTCAAGGATTGAGTCTCTGTGGGGAGATCATTAAGAAGTAGCTGTCAGTATGCCACTGGCCTGCCTGGAGTCGTACTGCCACAGACTGTAGAGTCACACTGCGTTTGATCTGTTGCTGACAGTACAGGATGTTATTACTGCCAGAATGATTTTTTTTAGCCCTGTGTGTTAACTGTACACCTGTACTGTGTAACAACAGGTTATCCTGCAGAGTTTAAAAGGACAAACTGCATTGTATTGCTTTATTATGGAAGGTGTTGAGCACTATACATAGGATCACTGCATGAGAATCGTGTTCGAAACAGATGTGTAAAAATAACCATGTGTTAAGAATTTCACCATACATACAATGGTTTTATAAAAAGTAATGTCATCATGTATTCATGTTTTTGGAGTAAAGAAACATGGTTTCCTGGATTCCTGCATCTTCATGCATGAATTTGCAGATCCCTCTTAGTTGAATTGTTCCTCAGTTGGTATCAAGCTATTGCTATTAAGAAACATAAAACTGAGTTTATACTTTCTTGTTGAATATGTCAAGGCTAAACCCTTTCATTCTTTACAAAAAAGGGTGTGAGTTAAACAGTGCTGATAAAAATCTTTCCCAGCCCCCATGTCTTGCATTATGCTGACAGTAAGCCTTTAGGCATGTTTTTACTGTCCTTTTCCAAACAAACAAAATTTTAAGGTTAAAGAAGGTTGAACACATTTTCATTTTAATGAGTTTCTGTGTGTTTTGCTTTCCAGGAAGATGTGTTTGTTTGATATGCAAATCTTTTTCATGTGGTTAAATGTTGTAGAATAAAAAAAATAACCAGTGCTCATGGGAAAAACATTTTTTAAT